CGTGAATGAGACACGTGGGAGGTGCTGTGGGGCATGAACATGACACATGGAGAGGGTGAGGGGGGAATTAGACATATGGGGGGGTAAGGCAATTTTAGCACCCTAGGTGTAGTGCAAGCTACACTTTCTAGGTACAGTTTACTGATATACCCAAAAATGGGACACCTGGAATACCATTTTTGCATATCATCTACTACAATTATATTTTTTTACACTAGAGCTCTAGTTATTCAAGAAGAATTTATGTTGCAAATTACACGTATTATGAGTGATACCATTTCTCTAATGCCCCATGCATATTCCTTTTTGGAAGCTAATATTTATCCACAATATCACTCCCTGTACCAGTGATGTAACGTGTCCCATTTGCAAAACTGATATTTAGTGTTTATTCAATATATTGTCATTATGGCAACAGAAATACATTTTCAATTGCCCTAATGTGGAGCCCTGTCTTGCACACTACATGTAACAGTGAGTTCTATTACTAGGGAGCTCTGTGATATACTCTTACATACTGCACTTTACTGTGAGTCTTATTGCCAAGGTCTGGGTTTATATATTCCGCAACAAATATCTCATTTGGCAGTGTGTATAAGGAAAATAACATAGAACCTACCAGGAAAGCTTTTCTTTATGTTTGCATGTTTTATGTTCATATTTTTATAGCCTGGCTCCCTTTTATGCAGATTTGAGTAGCATGTATGCACGAGAATGTTTGAACAATTAGTGGGAGGTAAAGACCTTCTGGGTGTTTTCTTTTGATTTTCATGGTTTGTGTGTTACATGCTTTAATTATAACATTATAGACTTCAAAGATAAAAATGTATCCCATAGTTGTTCTCACACAGATCTAGGTTTGTCTCTTGATCGGTAGATCTGATGTAGTATTTGAAGACAAAAAAAAAACAAAAAAACACACGCTAGCATCAGTTTTCCGATAAAGAACAAAATAAACCACAAGAACCGAACTATTAGCATATATTCAACTTTGGAGCTGTCTCACAAACTCAATCTCACAATGCACAATGAGATATTTACAGAATTAAGCAGAAGAATAATGAGAAAATAATTTTCTCAACTCTGGTCATTATAGTTCAAATAATTGGAATATGCACAAGTCAGAACATATTGCTAACAAAGTTAAATTCTATGAATTCTGTGCTTTAGGAAAACACAAAATAGTTTATGAGTTACAGTTACATTTTTTGTGGCAGTATATTTAAAGGAACACTTCCATCTGGTGTTGCACAAGGTTATAAAACCTTTTAAAAACGTACCTCTTGCAGCACCAAGGTCCCTCGGCACTGGCTCCATCTCCCCCTCCTTCGATTTTGGCAATGGAGGGAAACCTAATGTACATGCGCAGAGCATGTTGCAAGCACATTAGGCTATCCCACAAGAAAGCATTGGCTCAATGCTTTCCTGTGGGGAATTTGAAGACACTGGGAGTCCTCACACTACGTCCAGCTTCTTTTCATGGAGTTAACCCCTTAAAGACCAAACTTCTGTAATAAAAGGGAATCATGACATGTCACACATGTCATGTGTCCTTAACTCCTTAAGGACACATGACATGTGTGATATGTCATGATTCCCTTTTATTACAGAAGTTTGGTCCCTAAGGGGTTAAGGGGTTAAACTCTGTGTAAATGCAAAAAGTGTCTCTCAGACAGCCACTAGAGGTACTCTTACCCATGCAATATAAACATTGCAATTTCTCTGAAACTGCAATGTTTTATGTTGCAGAGCTATGGGGACAGGGACACTAGACACAGAGACCACTGCATCTTATTGAAGTGGTCTGGATGCATAGGGTGCCTTTGTTTGCTCTTTAATAATAAAAAAAAATGTCTGCATAATTTTTCTTTCAGAAGAGCTATTATTACCAACAATTGTGAACAAGATAGTGAAGCTGGCGAAACAATTAACGTGGAATCCAATGATAATACAGTGAATGGAGAGGATGGAACATTAAATTGGTGAGTAAATAGAAGTATTACAAACTTTCACTATTTCACAGTTAACATACACTTTTTAGGTCAATTTGCTAGTGTTCATGATCCATATTTCTGTTTTGGTACCTAGACCATGTTTACTTGCACTGCATAAAAAGATATGTTTTTAAACAGAGAAAAAGTACTTCATAGAAAACCAAAAAAAAAAAAAAATGCAACTATAGATGGTGAAGAATCTAATGCATAGTAGGTCCAGGTTTAATGTCAGTTAGGCTATATACTTATAACTTGACTGTTTTTGTGCATCATAGTTTTAATTAATCCTTTCAGTGCCACAGTCATGTAGAGCCAAATGATACTCTGGGCTTTGCGAGATATCAGAATCTACCCAAGAGAGTTTGGCTGCTTCCCCAGGACTAGCACTCTTTCTCAACCACACAGGCATGGTGGGGTAGAGTTCAATTCTTAACCAAGGAGAGATCCAGTGTATGGCCTTAACCTTTTCTCTACCTCATGTGCAGACTCATAAAAAAATTAAAAATCAACTGCTTAAGGATCTGAAAAATTACCCTGCCCTGTCCTCTGACTCAGTAGGGTGAATGTTCAAAGGACTATATAATCACCAGAGCAACTAGAGTTCAATGTAGTTTTTCTGGTGTCTACAGCCTTTCTCTGCAGACTTTTTAATTTATTAACTCTGACATTCTGCATCTGCACACTATACATGAGATGCTGAATGATCCCCATAGAGATGCATTGATTAAATGCATCTCTATGAAGAGATACTAATTGGCGCAGCACAGTGTTTTGCTGCGTATCTGCAATAGTCTCCCAATGTTTCCTATGGAAAAGCATTAGATTCGCTGAGATTGTAAAAAAAAACGCATGGCAGGGCCAACCGCCACAAGAACGGTACCGTGCTGGAAAAAGGGTAAATAAAATCACCTTCTAACAGGGGGCAGAGGGCCAGACACCTAAAGAGTTGTTTTAACACTATAGCGTAAGAAATACATGTATGTATTCCCTACACTTTAGTGTGCCTTTAATATTATTATAATGTTAAGAGGTCTGTAAGCCTTCAAGCCTAATAATAGCAGGAAGAGGGGATATTACATTGCTCCTGAACCTAGAACCTACAGACAAGAGAGTGTCCAATAATTTAAGACCCATTAATATAATACAACCCCTACTCCAAGGTGGCATCTCCTAGTCCTATAGGAGTGGAGCATGTTATGTTATTTCTGCTAGTTTTTAAAAGTTAAAGGGACACTATAGGCACCAACACAACTTCAGCTTATTGAAGTAGTATTGGTGTATAAATCATGTTCCTGCAGTCCCACTGCTCAATTCTATGCCATTTTTGAAATGCATTGTTTTGTTAATACAGCCCTAGTAACACCTCCCTGCATGTGACTTGCACTGCCTTCCTAAACACTTCCTGCAAAGTAAAATCTAACGTTTAAACATACTTTATTGCACATTATGTTTAATTTAGAATGTCTTATCTTCTGCATTATTACATTGATTCAATGTTTTTTCTATGGGGAGGACCTAATGTGCTTGTTGTTGTTATTTGGCAGCAGGTGAACAGTCAGTTCTTGAATTTCATGTGTTAGAAGCAGGAAAAGTGGGCACGCAAGATCTAAGTAATTGTCTGGTCCGTTCACACATGAGAGTACTATAGCTCAAATTGTTAAAAAAAAATAAAAAACCTTAATGCTACACATGATAAAAAGGTGTCAGAACATACAGTCCATTGCAGTTTTGTGCATGTAGGGCTGGGTAGCCACAGACTGTTCAGAGTGCCCATGATAACCTTTGTCCATCTCCAAAAGTACCTTAGACAGGGACGTGAGAGTCAAAACTAGACCATTGAGCAATGGAAGAAGGTCGCCTGGTCTGATCAATCACATTTTCTTTTAAATCAGGTGGGTGGCTGGGTTTATATGTGTGTCATTTACATGGAAAGAGATGGCATCAAGGTGCACCACAGTAAGAAGGCAAGCCGCAGTGGAAGTGTTATTCTCTGAGCAATGTTTTGCTGTGAAATCTTGTGTCCTTGGCCTCCAAATTCACCAGATCTCAATCCAATTGAGCATTTGTTGGATGTGCTGGAACAACAAATCAGATCCATGGAGGCCCCACTTTGCAACCTGTAGAATATGCTTCTAATATTTTGGTGCCAGATACCACAGGACACATTCAGAGGTCTTGTGGATTACATATCTCAATGCATTAGAGCTGTTTTGGTAGCACAAGGGGGACCTACATAATATTAGGTAGGTTTTAATGTTGTGGCTTATCAGTGTACCTCAAATCCTCATATATTGCAAGCTTGTTTGAGCAGGGCCTGTATAATTGTAAAGTGCTGCAGAATATTTTGGCACTATATAAATGCTGATTATAAGATAATGAAGTATATGTATTACTGTATTTTTTAAAAAGTTCTATCATTTGTTACTTATAGTGTTGCCATTATCTTTTGTTTAGCTGTTCTCTCCCACATGCAGTAGATTATCAGCATCCTGTTGCTCAGAAAGGTGAAGAAAAGAAGAATAGTGAAATGAAGGATATAATTATGGACAAAAGATCAACAGATGTCTAAATCAAAACCATATTTCTATCACACAACAATGCTAGACATCACCAATAAAGTAGATATTCAGCACATTTAAATAATAATTATATATATTGTATAGAAGTTTCTATGTTCTATTTATGAAGGTTATTCATGTTTGTCATAGTTCATTCTTTACTAAACCTGTCCAAAGGAAAAAAAAATGTTTTTGGGCAAAACACTTACAAAAAATATATGTGGTAAACTGAATTCTTTAAACTAAAAGTGAGCAGAAAGACTGCAATGAGATTTACATAATTTAAATACTGCAATGAGATTTACATGATACAAATAAATGGAAAAAGAGAAGGAGCAAACAAATCTATACTATGTTTAATGCAAATCTAATAATATTGATTAAATATATATATAATATAACTATAGATTTATATATTTTTTACTGCTCTACTTTTTTATTTGTCCATTTATTTGTCACTTCTTACTTAATATAAAAATCAACAATCAATGGCTGTCCACTAGTCATCAATCATCTTTTTTCCCATCAAAAATACATTTACCCATAAATCATATATTTTTTTGGTGCCAAGAATTCCAAATGATGAATCAAAATGAGCATTCTTATCCATTGCATAATTCAATTGATTCATGATTGAGCTAAATTTTGGCTTGGAGTTCTGGAATTCATATGATCACCAAATCGGCCCAAATATGAATGAATTGCAGTTTGAAATGAAATTAATATTTGTGAGTGCTAATTTTAACATAAAAGGAAGTGACTTGCCAAGAATCTCTTTGAAGTCAAGATTTGAGATCTGAAGACTTGATTTGATATGCCTGGTTTACACAAATATGCTCTTTATATATGGATAATATGTCTTCTCTGCAAACTGAATTGTCAATTGTTTTTAAATATAATAAACATATATTCTGTGCTTAACAGTTGACCGTTCAATAATATTGTCATAATATTATGTAAATTATTCCATCCTAGCAATAGGATGTACTATCTTATTCTTAATATTTAGAAAACAGGGTGAGGAAAAGGTTTAGCTATGGTGGGTATGGTAAAAAGTAATTTTGGATGAGTGAAACTTTTAAAAATGTGAAATAGTGTATTGAGCATGGCATTGTGCAGGGTTACTTAGAGGAGCACTGTAACATTCTGTGTTTTTGTTTTTTGTTTTTTTACAATCTTTATTTCTTTTAAATTCAAAGAAGAATGTCATGGTACAGAAATATACGTCATATAAATCACAACATAGGGTAATCATATTTAACCAAAAAGAGGAAAGTGTGGCAAATGTACACAATATATTCTGTGGAAGCAATTCGTGAGCATCTGATATTCCATTACATTTTAACTATATGTATTGGAGTCTGACAACTTCAACATAACTGTCCCACTCAAATGGTACTGAGAGCCAAAATGTACGAGAAGGAAACATGAGAGAGAGAAGACAAAAGACAGAGCACAGGGGGGAAAAAGGAGTGTCACATTCCATTATTATTCCAATATGTTTAACAAATATCCATCTTAGCTCCCTGTCAATCATTCTTATAAGCTCTGTCCTTTGCACATGGCAGTCAGCATAGGGAATGTATACAGAGAAGAAGAAAATGCAATATTTGCACAGCCTTTTACTCATCTCATCTAGGTTATGTCATTTTTTTATTGTTTACATACATTAAAAAGTAAAGCAACTCATGAAAAAAGGTTAACACCTATTATAGGTGATTTTCATTGTTGTATTCCATGTTATAAATTACAGAGACATGATAGCACCTGGTTAAATCTCTCTGTCATGGTCTTAATCAGGTCAAATAAGAGACTTTGGCCAGAGTTAACGTTAGGTTCTTTATTGGTGAGATTGGACATAATAAGTAGCAGGAAATCCAATAAATGAGATTATGTGCAGAAGGAAAAAAGGAGAACCTATAAACAAAATTATAGCTAATGGATAAAAGGTGAACCTATACATGTAATTATAGGCAAAGGTAGATAGATAGAACCTACAAATGGAATTATAGGTAGAAGGTTAAATAATAGAAATAGAGGTTTAGTCAATATGCCCCATACAGGTTGTTACCAAGATATAATTAGATAGTATCAAACACCTATAGTTGAAAGTATAGGGTGTATAGAAAAACAAGTAAAATAGAACAGAACAGTAAGATTTCAGAGTTTCAAGTAAACTAGACATGTGGGGAATCGGCCCCCTGTTTGGGAGGGAGTACTGATAATACAGGTAAATAGCAATATTAGTTAGTAGTGAAGTCCAGGTTGGTGTTACACAGATTGGTATAGAGCAGGTTGGCTGTGTAAATCACGTAGGTATAAAGCAGGTTGGTAAGATAAAGTAGGTTAGTAGTGTAGTTCAGGTTGGTAATAAAGCTGGATTGTAGAGTAGTTCAGGTTGGAATAAAGAAGGTTGGTAAGAAAAGTTGGTAATGAAGATCAGGTTGGAATAGATAAGCTTGGTAGAGTAGATCAGGTTGGGTTTCAGCAGGATGGTATAAAAGCAGGAATGTTTACAGAAGCCAGGAACAGAAGTCTTTCTGGTTGACCATCAACTTCATTGTAAAGGCTCTGTATTGAGCAGGGTTCGGCCATTGCACATGGCAGAAGGTATGCAGAGAAGAAGAAACATGTAATATTTGCACAGCATTTTACTCATCTCATCTAGGTTATGATGTAATTTTTTTAATCGTTTACGTACATTTAAAAGTAAAGCTATCAGTCCAGGCAGGTGAGGATGATTGAAGGTAAATTCAGTTCTAGTGGTTAGGGAGGCCACAAGTGGTGGAAAACTGTTACTTGTTTTAAAGAACAGAATAAAAGAAACATAATTCTTGGTTGTCTGGATAGGATCCTGGCACTCTTATTGTTAAAGTTATTGTTAAACAGTTTAGTTCAGGTTCATGCTTACCCTCTCCTCTAGGGATGGATGGCTGGGGTGTTATACTATGGAAAGATCAAGGATAATGTTTCACAGTCTTATTTAAAATACAATGTGACCAACCATACATGGGTAATTATCAAGTTTGGGTATTTCAACCTCAGCCATTGCTAACAGGTGCATAAAATCCAATACATAGCTATGAAATCTCCATAGAAAAACTTTGGATCCTGCTGAAAAGCTCAGTTACTTTAAAAGATGTCACCTTAGACACAAATCAATTTGTGAAATTTCTGTAAATGGTGAAGTGGAAGTATGTAGGAGCACTGAGAACCCAGCCACGAAATGGTAGACCACACATACACACAAAGCTTGGGCAACGACTGCTGAAGCACATAGCATAAAAATCCCCCATCATTAGTTACATCATTAACTACAGACTTTCAAACTCCAAATGTGAAAGCAATATCAATAGAAAAACTTGTTGGAAGCTTCATGAGTGGTATGAAGAACACTGCCACTGGACTCTAAAGGAATGTATATGTGTTCAGATACCTGGAGAACACTATCTCCTGGAATGCATAGTGTCTACTATTTAAAGTGTGGTGGAAAACGGATAGTGGTCTGGGGCTGGTTTTCAGCATTTAGGCTAAGCCCCATATCTAAAGTGAGAGGTTATTTTAATGGTACAAGATACAAAGACATTTTCGATAAGTACAAGTATGTCCCATCTAGGCCCTTACATTCTGCTGAAGATTTACGTCTATCTTCTGTCCATACTTCCACCTCTGATGCCTGCCTTCAAGTCTTCTCAAGGGCTGCACCGTTCCTGTGGAACTCACTTCCCTCCTCTGTTAGATGCTCACCCAGTATCCACTCCTTCAAAAAAGTCAATAAAAACCCACTTCTTCATAAAAGTGTATCAATTAAACTGTTAATAGCTCCTGACTGATTCCTCTCTTGCAACTTTCATTAGTCTAATACTATCCGTACCTTTTGTGTCACATTACCCCACTCCCTCTAGCATGTATTTTCATTGAGCAGGGCCCTCAAACCCTCTGCTCCTATGTGTCCAACTTGTCTGGTTACAACTACATGTCTGTTCATCCACCCACTATAAAGCGCTGCGGAATATGTTGGCGCTATATAAATAATAACATAATAATAATAATGTGAGAGCTTCTAATGTTTTGTAACAGTTTGGGAATGCCTTTTTTTCTGTTCCAGCTAAAACTTTGCACAATATAGGTCCAAAAGGTACTGTTCATATAAATAAAGCCAAAGACTGTAGTTTGACATCTTCTGCTAGGTCCACTTATATGCATGGTGCAGGTCTCCAACACATTTGAGGTCAGTTGAACAAAAATTGAAATTAAATAAGGAGTTTAGAGAAAACTGCTCTATGTATACATTAAGTTACAAAAATAATTTACTGTACATACCAAATTGTCAAACAAGTGGTCAATATGCAGAGAATTCAAGCCTGTGTTTTGTGCATATGAAGGTACATATCCCTCCAAATACCAATACCCCTTAAAGGGAAAAAGAATGCATTGATTTCCACCAGCAGCAGAACAGACAAAATATTAATCCCTGCACCACAAGGAATCGAAGATGCACAATATACTACACATGGAGCTGTTACAAGCAATGGCATACCCAATCTCCACATGCAGAGGTATCACAATATTTAACACTCACAAGATCAGAGACCGAGAGCAAGGTTAAAGTTATACAGAATAACAATAAAACTAATATTATAAAATTATTTACATGGCCTCAAACAAGGAATTAGAGAAAATACTTTTAGTGGGTTGTTTAATTAGAACAAAAGATCATTCCTAAAATGGCTGCACTCAAAATTCATAAGCTATGAAAATCCATTTCTTACTCTTTTTCAATCAATTCAAAACTATCACTGATGTTTATTGTGAATAACCATCTTTACTATAATCAAATAGAATCAATATAATTAATTAAAAAAAACTCAAATACAAATAAAGATTTCAAAGTATCCCCTTGTATCATGATTATAACTACAAAATGTTACCATGTGTAAATCCTAAATCATCACCTACACATCCTAAACCCAGTTCTAGCCTCTATATTAGGGAACATTAAGTTCATAATTAAGCCCTGCAGGCTTGTTTTTTTTTAAAAAAGTCCACTTCTCCTCCTGAAAATCCAAGATCATATTTAAATCACCAAAATGTACAGCAGGCATTATCTTTTGTATTCCTTAGATCTTAAAAAAAGACAAACAGATTAGAAGTAGTACCATCACAGAAGTATCTGGAAATAGGAGTTATTTTTTGTACAGTCTTTATATTGCTTACACTTTTGCTTATATTGTCTTTCACAGTATGAGTGGTTTTACCCATATACTATACATATCGTAAGGAGGTACACCACATACACAGAGTCACAATTAATGAACTCACATGTCTTTTTCTAGTAACCATGGGAAAAACAAACTCATATCCACCTACTCATAACATGGTGTACCCCCACACATCTACATACCCTTTGATGCCAACCAAGAAGTTTGATCTCTTCTACAAAAACATTAGATGCAAGCATGCTCCTCAGGGTATATGCTTTTATAGTCACTACTTTGCATTTACCATTAATTTTTTCAATAAGTCTTTCTAAATTTGGGTCATTATATAAAACATGCAAGTGTTTATGTATTATATTTGTTATATCATTAAACTGGGAGCTATATGTTGTTACACATATCGACAACATAGTATTATTATTACCGTCATTACCTACCTTAACACAATTTGGACTCTCTTTAATCAAGTCAACCCTAACCATCCACATCACTTTTATAAAAGCTTATCAGATGACCCAAACAGAAAAGCTCCTGTCAAAAAATCTGTATCTAGGGTCATAAGCCTCTAACAAAAAATATCAAAATTAGTGCAGTTCTGTCTTAAATTGAGAAACTGTCCTTTTGAATCCCCTCATACCGGGTGATTTGGATAACTGGATCCAAGTGCGTTCCATCTCTATATCTTTACCACATCAACAAGGA